AGAAACACGGCTCTAAAGCCAAATTCCACTTTGCTGTATGAATGGAATTATATGTTTTTCACTTCCTCCCTGAATACTCTCCAAAGCACTTCCTTGCCTGCCTGTTTTCTCACAAAGAGGCTTGTTACTATAGAAACCCACAGGGTAGTGGCTTCAGAAGGCAAGCCAGGGAGAAGAAATCGGAGGAAAGAGCTGATAATGTCTGAATATCTGCAAAAAAGAGACCAGAATGGTTGCAATGTACCATTCTGAGCATTGTTTTACGATCAACATCCATGCAAACAGAGAAGTCTACATTGCTTTCCTTTTAGGAGGGGCTCAAAACTTCTGGTTTCTGAGATGGTGTTTTTAAAAAAGTGACAGAAAATTCAACTTGGCCATAATCTAGACTTTTTAAAGCCTCTGGGGATCCCTCTGAGCTTGCGTTGAGTAGGTGTTCTGGGCCGAAATGCCATTGGAAGTCTGGAGTGCCAACTGCAGCTTTATGGCTATAAGGTTTTTGCAATCTTGTGGAGTTCCTATCATCCTGGCTTTCATGACAGGAGTTGTAATCCAATATCCTTGGAGAGGACCAGCCCTAAGATACTGAGGAACTGATCAGATCAGGAGAAACATCTGGAAGAATCTAGTCCAACAACTCCACAGGACTCATCTAGATGTCCACATGAGAAGACCTCAAACAGAACATCAGAAATGGACCATCTTTCTGGGCAGCTCCAGGAGCAGCTTATGTGTCCCATAAAGTGTGGGATTTCCTGAACCTTATTTGCAGCCTATAACATTCCAGAATCACAGCACCAAAATTTGGGAGGAAATTGGCCCATTTTGGGTGACACATTTTTCCCCCTTTAAAAAAGAAGGGAGGAGCTGGGGAGAGGCGGCAGACTTTCCTATTTATTTTTTAAACCCCTCAGAATAGCCAGAAATCACAGAAATGAAATGTCCCAGTGCTGCCAAAGTTCAGTTGTGGAATTTCAGGCCATTTTTGCTAGGAAGGGAGGGGGGTGGTCAGTGTCCTAAAAGGTGGAAATCGGAGTGGTTGCTCCCCAGTGGATTCCCATTCTACCCTAACAAACCTATTTAAAAGCCCCCAAAGGAACTAAAAAAAACACCCACCCTTTTCTGTGACATTTCTATACTTATGGTGACATCCCATGAGGTCCTCCAGCTCTTGGGAACACAAGTTGAAACTCCTGAACCTGGAAAAGCGGTCTACCACTGTGCTCAAACAAGTCCCCTCTTCATGAGTGTCTGCAAATTTAGGGTGCTGGGTACCCTTGGAACTCTGCAATGTCCAGGCTTAAATGAAAAAGCTTGTGTTCTTTATTAATGGATATGATTTAATTAAGAATTTACTCAGAGTTATCCTCTGTGGGACCAGCATCCCAGATCTTTTGGCACAAACAACCATGAATGTAAAGACTGTCTTCTGGATTTTGTCCCAGGGCACAAAGATTAGAGGCTCAGAAACAGGGGCACCCAGAGGGGAGGCGCTGCACTTAAAAAGGGCTTGGCTTTGATTGTGCCATTGTGGCTGCCATCTTGACTTATTTGACCTCCCCTGCAGACACCCCTGCACAGCAACGGCGGGGTGGGAACTGAGTGAGAGTGGGTTCCCCTTTCCATGCATAAATTCAGAGAGGAAGTTGGATGGGTCAAATGAGCAAACGGCATCGTATGTAACTAGAGTTGTGTATATCAGGCTGTTCAAAATTCTCCTCCATATGAGTGGACAGTTTCTCCAAGTGTCTTCAGGGACAGAGAAATCCAGCAACAATAGCCATGCTTATTAGCTGCTCAGAAAAAAGTTGGGAAGAGTTTTCTGATGTCTTTTCTTGGGGGCATTGCTGCAGCCCACTGACAAGAAGGGGTTCAAATGAAAGAGTGCGTATTCACACTCACTCACTCACACACACACAAACACACACACACTGTCTAGCCACCTCCATAACCAAAGAGCTACAAAAACACCACAGACCAGCAGGAGAATTTCACAGAAAGAATTTCTAAAGCAAATTCTTTTTCCTCCAATTTAATAAAAACCAAACAGGAAAAATGCTGAATATTTCTGTACTGCATTAATCAAATTTGCTCATCCTTTTCATTGGAACAAATCTCATTCTAGCCACATGGTGTCAGTCTTAAGCCCCATGTGGTTTGGTCTGTCTTTTAGATTAAATTAGTTTTACTCCGGCTTGCAACAATCTGGGGATGCTCTGAGCCTGCGCACCAGAGGAAGCTACAGATCCGTAACTCCAACCTATTGTTGACGTTTGCTTTTAGTAGTCCTCTACTCATATTTTTTAAGAAAACTTTCCTATGTGCCATAGAAGCAGATAATAAAAATGACAACATACACTCACACGCGTGCACACATACACGTATCCAAATGTTATTTAATCCCAACATTTCTATAATGTGTCCAGCTGAAATTTACGTCTTGTTTTTATCCACTGTTTCTTGTCCTATCTTTTGGAGCAACTCTGAACAATTCTGCCCCATCTTCTCTATGACAACCCTTTAGATACCTGAAGATACCTCTCCTGTCTCCCCGCATCTTGCCTTCTCTAAGACAAACATACCCAACACCAGCACCGCTCCCCAGAGGTTTTTCTTTCCAGACCCCTTAGCACCTCGATTCCTCCTCTCAGGACATGTTCCTCCAAATGCAGTGCCCAGAACTGATCTAAAACTTCTAGAATCTAAAAGCAGAGGAAGTGGGGCGTCAACACTACTGCCAAGGTAGTGCAGTCACAGCTTGGGAGTGATGCAGGAGAAGGTCTTCTCCTGTTGGCCAGATAACTGACTTCCTGGAGGTGGGCACCTTTGAAAGGCCTCTTCTGCAGGGCTTAATGCCTGGACAAGCTGAAAACAAGGTGGCCCTTCAGAGGGGTGTCCATGGTGGGGGATCCAAAAAGTCAAGACGGCATGACACAGGTAAAAAAAGAGGGCATGAGGTCACAGCCATCAACTTGAGTTCTTGACACAGGCAGACACTTGCTACGGTGGATGTCCCTTCCTACCTATTACAAGCCCCAGTTTAGGCCTTTATCACCGTCACCTTCCGCTGTGCTTGAAAAGCAATTGGCCACCAGGCCTGCGTTTTCAAAGATGAACATTCCTGTTATCAGCTTAGCTACTGAATTTATCACCAGCTGGGGCTCCTGGACCCTGCAGAGGGATTTTTCCTGGATAGCTGTGCAAGTAGTTTTCTTTAATGTCATATATTTCGTGCAGCTGTTCCGCTCATGCTGTTCCAGATGGGCACGCCAATTAAGTACCAGAATGGCATTTTTTTAATCATCCCCCCCTCCACATGAAGAAACGAAGGAAGGAAAAGGGAGGTGTTACAGCTGGTAGGAAAAGGAGGGTGAGTAGCTGAGAGAAAGAGACCATGCGGGGCAAGAAAGAGAAA